CCACAATAGAGACAAATACATTGACCCAGGACTGGCCACTGAGGGAGCACCTGCCAAGGGAGGGAGCGGCTCAGCTCGCAGACCCCAGGGTCTCCAAGTCCGGGCATGGAAAAGCACTAGTGGGGAGGCGGGGCAGGACGGAAGGTGTGGGACAGGTTGCAAGATCGTGGAAAAGGGAGGGGGGCACTCTTCAGCCAAGGTGACCTCTGAAGACAAGGATGGTTGTAGAGGCCCGGGAGAGTCGGGACCATTCTCTGCCTCGGTGGGCGCGTCCCTCACCTCCGGCCCCTCCCCACTCCTCAGCCCCAGCTCCTCGGGAGGGACCCGCCTCCTGGGCGCTCCCTGCTGGACAGCCTCCTAGCCCCCACTTTGAGGTTGTGACCCCTGCTTCACAGCAGCATGTTCTGGAGTGAGGGGACTCTGCTCCTCTGTCAAGTGAGACCCCTCCCCTCCTCCACAACAAAAGTAAAACACTCCCAGACCCTTTGTGTGTGTTTGCTGGTCCTGGGGCTTGAACTCAGGGCCTGAGAACTGACCCTTAGCTTTTGTATTCAAGGCTAGCACTCTACCACTTCAGCCACAGCTCCACTTCCCACTTAGTGGTTAATTGGAGATAAGAATCTCATGGGCTTTCCGGTCCAGGCTGGCTTCAAACTGGGATCCTCAGTTCTCAGCCTCCTGTGTAGTTAGGATTACAGGCCTGAGGTACTGGCTCTTAGCCTTCGCATACAGTATTTGGTGACGCCATTGCTACTTCCACCACAGCCCGCAGAGCAAAGAGCTCGGCTCTGCCCCACCCCTTCCTGGTCCACTGTGGTTGGCTTACCTGTGGGCTTCTCCAAGTTCTCCCGCTCCAACCCAGGTGGACGCTGACCCCTCTTTGGGCAGCTCAGACTGCTCCATCCTTCTGTTGTTCCGGTTTTCTGGCAAGTCTCTTCTCTCTCCAGACTCTCTTGGGAAGGAGAGGGTGGGCTGAGCCCCCTGCTTCCTTTGCTTACTCCTGGCATTCCCGAAGTCAGTTCAGACCAGCAAGGAAAGGGCACAATACATATATCTCCGATTAAGGCCACAGGATAATAGAGTGGCAGGCACACAGAGAGCCCAGGAGAGGAGACCCCACCCCAAGTGGCCCAAATGACAAACCGGTTTCCCCACTTCTTGATCTACCCAGTGGCTGCCTTAATCTGGGCTCTCCTGCCTTCCTTCCCGCCTCCAGGCCTGCCTCTAAACCAGCCACATGCCCAGTTAGGGGCAAGGTCCCAGATACCCCTTACAGATCAATGTCCAGCTTCAGTAACTCAGGTGACAGAGGCAGGACTGGAGGAGGGGCCGTTGGGAGTTCCAGCTGGACAGCTCCGGAGGGCAGCCAAGAGTTATGTACCAGACAACAACACACCGCCTGGGCACACGACCCCAGCAGTCGGCACCCTGACTTGTTCCCTCTTGGGCCAGCTGCCTTTCCCTCTGCCAACTGGATGGTGCCCATCTTTTAGCCTCTGAACACCCAGTGGGCACCTGTCCAGCTCCCTGCCTGGCTGCCTGCCCAGGATGGGCATGAGAGGCAACAGTCCCTGTGCAGAGGAGGGGGTCAGAGCGGATAGGGGTAACTTCCCCTCATCTGCAGGGCACTACTTCTCAAGTCTTTGGGAGTCCAGCTCTTGAGCATACACTGCACCTGTATTCAGGCCCCCACTTAACTAAACAAGACTCTGCCCCCACTTAGATTCCTGCCTACTCTTTACCCATGGTCTCTATTTAATCTTTTTACCAGCCCTATAGAAAAGGGTGTTTTCAACTCCATATCAGAAATAAAGGAATTGAGTCTTAGAGAAATATAGACCATTGGGCTGGGAAGGTGGCTCAGTGGTAGAGCGCTTGCCTTGCATGCATGAGGCCCTGGGTTCGATTCCTCAGCACCACATAAGCAAAAAGAAAAAAGCCAGAAGAGGCGCTGTGGCTCAAGTGGTAGAGCGCTAACCTTGAGCTGAAGAGCTGAGGGACAGAGCCCAGGCCCAGAGTTCAGGCCCCAGGACCGGACCCCCCCCAAAAAAAAAAAAGAAAAAGAAATATAGACCATTGCCCAACCTAAGAATCTCAAAGGTAAAATTGTGCTGGATGCTGGAGGCTCACATCTGTAACCCTAGCTACTTGGGCAGCTGAGATGGTTGGGATTGAGGTCTGAAACCATTCTAAGAAGAAGGAAAAAAAAATTCAAGAAACTCCTCTAAACAAAGAGCTAGTCATAGTGGCCTGAATCTGCTACCCTAGCTACCAGGAAGCTTCACCTGGGTGGGTTGTGCCCGAGAACATACCTGGGCAGAAAGCAAGCCCCAAACTTGGAAATAACAAGCAAGAATCAGGGCTGGAAGCCAGGTACCTGTGGCTCATGCCTTTAATCCTAACTACCTCAGGAGTCTGAGTCTGAAGATCATGGTTCAAAGCCAAGAAAGCCTATGAGACTTTTATCTCCAATTAACCATCAAAAGGCAGAAAGTGGCCCTGTGGCTCAAGTGATAGAGTGCTCACTTTGAACACAAAAGTTCAGGAACAGCACCCAGGCCCTGAGTTCAAGCCCCAGGTCTGGCATCCCCCCCCCCCCGCAAAAAAAATCAGGCTACAGGCATGGTTTAGCAATAAGAATGCCTATTTAAGCAAGTGAGAGGCCCTGACTTTAAAAAAAAAAACAAACTGGTGTGCCTGATGCCAATGATCCCCACCCCTGCCCTCACCTAACCTGTAGACTAGGAGAGCCCTGGACACCAAGTCTCATCACCATATTGTTGTTAGTAGAGTGAGGAGCAGGACTAGGGCTCCAAGTTAAGACAGGAATTTTGTCAGTGATGGGGACCTGGGTACTCTCCTGTAAGTGACGATGATTGGAAAGATGCTCACCCATAGCCTGCAGATCTTCTCTCCTAACACTAGTTGCCAAGAAGCCACTGGGTAGTACCTGGTGGGAAAGGATCTATGAATAAGCCCTCAGGAAATGGCACTGGTTCCAAAGGTGTCACTAGATACAAGGTATCACTGACTTTTCTCTTCCTAAGTGAACTCCTTCATGAGGGCTCCCTCCATGAGCAGGGCCTTAAATCAGATTCAGATAGTAATTTTCATTTGTGTATCTCACATTGGGTGAGTTGTTTGTTTTTGGTGGTGGTACTGGAGTTTGAACTCAGAGCCTTTTTTTTGTGGTGGGGGGAGTTGGTTGTGGAGGTTGAACTCAGGGTCTTGTATTGTCCCTGAGCCTCTTTGTGCTCAAGACTAGCCCTTTAACATTTGAGCCACAGTGCCACTTCTGGTTTCTGAGTGGTTAATTCTAGATAAG